TACACGGAATTGCTCCGTTCTTTGCGCCGATTGATCTTTCGAAAGGAGGACAAATTTTCGTTGACGAAACTACGCGTAATTGTTTTCTGAATTGATTCATGCAATACCCATAACTGCACCTTTCCCCATTGCTTTACAATCAAAGTCAGTTTTCTTGTGAAAGTCAACTATCTAAAATTTCCTGATTTGCTGATACATACGAAAAGTGAATGGAAAATGATGGAAATAAATTCTACCATATTGTAGGACAGCCCTACAAGTAGAATGTTTTGGTTACAAGATCTTCTGAATCAGTTTAGAACTGTAAAACTATGGCTTTGATACACGTTCTAACTTACAGATTCTGATGTTCTAACTCGTGCTTCACAAACAGTTCGTGAAAACTACCCAGAAAACACATTTGTTGCAAAGAGTGCTGTTACTGTCACCTATGTCAACGTAACAACAGGCAACCGAAAGGTATCAGCAAAATTTTGATCTGAATGTCAAAAATTTGTCAACATAATCAACTNGCCTTTTAAGAGCAGACTAATTGTGAACAATTCATTGCGAAAACGTGAGGAAGGAGTCATAGGTTCAGGCACTCCACAGGAAGATATTAATGAAAATGTAAAGCATAAGAGAGGAATTTGCAGAGTGCTGGTAATACATTCCAAGCGTTAATCGTTGCTGGTTTGAACAAAAATGCAGAGAATATGACGTTTGTCCATCTCTTATATAGGGATTTACCTTGGAGTGAGGGTGCTGAGGTCAGTTTCTTTTCAATTATGCAATTTCAACGTTTCACTCTAAGAATACTTCCGAACCTAAGATTGATATGTTGGAATTGTTCTTTGAACATAAATCATCGTTCGCGATATCAATCTGCCTGTCAGACCAAACGATTCGATCCAAGAATAGAAAACATTTTCGTTTCCCTGGAAAAAAGTATAGAGCAGGATAAAGTTGGATAAAATTTTTACGTAAAGGATAGATTGAATCAAGACTTTATGTTGTATCCAGCTTATAATAACTGACAGTAATTTCAGGCGGGTATAATGTCGTTCGATGAGGCCAACTCTATAATGCTACCCGGTTCTGGTACCGAAGGCATTGAGCAACTCAGCCAATTGAGCAACATACAAATACCCGGTCAATGGCTGTATCGTATCGATACGGAAGCTGTCTATCCGTGTACCCATCCACAACTGCAGCCACCTTATTGCGATGCCACCACCCCAAGACGTGTAAACAATTCGCAACGCAGACCAAACAAAACTCCATCATCACAACAAACTCCTCGTCCGTTTTTCAATCACTTTATCAAATCTTATCGTATCACTCGTAATCAACTAAGACGCCACATTCTTCCCGTTCATTAATGTTTATGCC